AAAAAAAAAAAAAAATTATATCCAAGTAGAAATTTTCTGAGATATAAGAATTTACTCATTGTATTCATAAGATTTAATATTTATTTCCTTGTGAATATGTAGCTCTAGTAAATATTCTGTGCTTGATATTCATGTTTGGAACTTTATCTGTGTCTATCCTATTCTCCCCACGTATTTTTAAATATTTGCATAAACTGAGTACACATGTCACTATGTAATTAAACTTAAAGGCATAAAATTCAGATTCAGGATTCAGCACAGTGCTTGTGAAAGAGGAGAAAAGCTTCATTAAGAAGAAAATTCAAGCTGACACTGTGTCTCATGCCTGCAATCACAGGTAATCAGGAGGCTGAGGTGGAAAAATCCCTGGAGGCTATGAGTTCAAGACCATCAAAGAAAAGATAATCTGTTGGAATTTCCTGAAATCCTAAATAACAAATCTGTCTGTGAAAATAATTGTAATTAACAAATTTTAACCACTGTCGCCTAAAATGCCTATCAAAATGATTCTTTGACATGAACAATGACGAAATGATTAAATTTATTGAATCAAGGTTGTATTAGAAATGGTGCTTAGTGCCAAATATTGGACCCTTTTTCACTGTAACTGGTTAAAAAGATAAAGTTTGCTATTCGTAGGTGCAAAGAAAAGACCACGAGAGAGAATGGTTAAGGAAAGGCTCACAGGCCTTGGTGAGATAGAGAATATGGCTGGAACCTCCTACGCTGACCCATCCAGCTGTTAGTTAGCATTGGCCTGGGGCAACTGGCCACTGAGAGGCTGAGGCATTGTGGAATTATAAAGCAATAGCCTTCAGCAATAGTAAATTCCTCCCTGGTCCTGATGTATTTCAGAATCCATCAGGGACTGTTGGGTGTCCCTAAGGCCCCAATGATTTCTTAATTTCTAAGTTAAAACAAGATGTTACATTGGCCCCTCACAAGACTCCAGAGGGTGTTTCAGGCACAGGGCAATAGGCATTGTTGCCAGGCAATTCTGAAATTCCTTCCAGAGGATTATTTCCACTTTAAGAACCTCCATCCAGCCCTGGACCCTGATCTTTCCGTCCCAGAGAAAGTGATCAGCTTGGGGCCCTGCTATCCCCTGCCCTGCTATCTCCAGCATCACCAAAGTTAAACGTAGAAAAAGACGGAAACGTACAAATTACACCACATTCATTTTTCACTGGTGCATTAGTTAATTAGCCTGAAGAATAATTTGGGGATGGAGGGAGCTCTTACCCCTACAGTAGAAGGTAGACCTTCTAACCATAAGTCGTGGGGTTTTCCTTCTCCCTTCTTAGAATGATAATTAGAGGAAACAAAGAGGTCAGAGAAAATGAGTAGCAGTGATAATGCCGCCCGCGTACTAATAAGCACCAATCTTCCTTCCGCCGAAAGTATTCTTTTTCTTCTAAAAGGAATTTCTGAGAATGAAGGCAGGTCAAGGCCTATGGCGATAAGCGGTTGCTTTAGAAGAGACAAAAACAGATATAGGAATTTATTATTATATTATCATTTAAGCAAAGAAATAAAAGTGTGAGCGCAAAATTTTAAAATCTTTCGGGAAAAAAAAATGAGTGGAATTCCCTTTAAGAGTTAACTCTTTCCCGCCCTGCCTTTTTAGAGCAAAGGAAGTTCCAGTGGGCTGGGATTAAGGGACAGATTGTGGACCCTGACGAAAGGCGTGCTGGAGAAAGCTGGGAGCCCGCGGTTTGCACACAAAGCTGCGGAGTTCCCAAGCGGCGG